GAAGAGGGCCCCAAGAGGGCCTTCAAGAGGCAAAAATCAGCCCAATTCCTTTCGTATTATCCCGGCAAAGCAACCTAACAGCGATGTGTAGAAGCATATCTGAAAGCATTCCCCTTAAGATTCAGATGAAAATCCAGTTGTCGAATTCTGCTGTTCTCGCAGTCGTAGTCGCATTCGCGATGACAGTCGCAGCGGCAACGGCAGTCGCAGTCACAGCCTCAGCCTCAGCCTGCCTCCTCCTCCTCCTCCTCCTCTTTCTCCTGCTCCTCCTCCTCCTCCTCCTCCTCCTCCTCTTCCTCCTGCTCGTCCTCGTTCTCGTCCTCCTCGTCTTGCTCGTCCTCCTCCTCCTGGTGCTCTCTCCTCCTCCTCCTCCTCCTCCTCCTCCTCCTCCTCCTCCTCCTGGTGGTCCTCGTTCTCCTCCTCCTGGTGCTCTCCCCCCCCTCCTCCTCCTCGTCCTCCTCCTCCTCCTCCTCCTCGTCCTCCTCCTCCTCTCCTCCTCCTCCTCCTCCTCCTCCTCCTCCTCCTCCTCCTGGTAGTCCTCCCCCTCCTCCTCCTCCTCCTCCTCCTCTTCCTGGTCGTCCTCGTTCTCGTCCTCCTCGTCTTGCTCGTCCTCCTCCTCCTGGTGTTCCTCCTCCTCCTCCTCCTCCTCCTCCTCCTCCTCCTCCTCCTCCTGGTGGTCCTCGTTCTCCTCCTCCTGGTACTCTCCCCCCCCCTCCTCCTCCTCCTCCTCGTCCTCGTCCTCCTCCTCCTCCTCCTCCTCCTCCTCCTCCTCCTCCTCCTCCTCCTCCTCCTCCTCCTCCTGGTACTCCTCCCCCTCCCCTCCTCCTCCTCCTCCTCCTCCTCCTCTTCCTGGTCGTCCTCCTCCTCCTGGTCGTCCTCCTCCTCCTGCTCGTCCTCCTCCTCCTCCTGCTCGTCCTTCTTCTCCTGCTCCTCCTGCTCCTCGTCCTGCTCCTGCTCGTCCTCGTCCTCCTGGTCTTGCTCGTCCTCCTCCTCGTCGTGCTCTTGCCCCTGCTGAAAATGTGGCCCAGGAATGGGAGTTCTGGGAAGTCGAAGAGCACGAAGTTGCCTACAGTTGGCTACGGGCATTCAAAATGTGGCCCGGGAATGGAGTTCTGGGAACTCGAAGAGCACGAAGTGGCCTACAGTTGGCTCCGGGCATTCAAAATGTGGCCCGGGAATGGAGTTCTGGGAACTCGAAGAGCACGAAGTGGCCTACAGTTGGCTCCGGGCATCCAAAATGTGGCCCGGGAATGGAGTTCTGGGAACTCGAAGAGCACGAAGTGGTGACTGTTGCATCCGGGCATTCAAAATGTGGCCCGGGAATGGCGTTCTGGGAACTCGAAGAGCACGAAGTGTGTGACTGTTGCATCCGGTTATTCTAAAGGTGGCCCGGGAATGGCGTTCTGGGATCTCGAAGAGCACGAAGTGTGTGACTGTTGCATCCGGTTATTCAGAATGAGCCTGGGAATGGAGTTCTGGGAACTCGAAGAGCACGAAGTGTGTGACTGTTGGTGAAAAACGAGATGGACACAACCCGCCCGGCAACTCCCAACACCTGCCCGGACCCCCCTGTGGAGTGATCTGTGAGCTCTTTTGAGACCACTAGAAACCTATCAGTCTTCGCTGTTAGGTAAAAACGTACATGTTCAGCATACTCGCTGGCTTCGTCTTCACAGTGCCCCAGACGCCCCCGAGGAGCCCCAAGACAGCCCAAGAGAGACCCAAGAGGGCACAAGACGGCCCCCAAAAGAGTCGTCCTGTGGGGCTGACGGAACCCCCCCAAGACGGCCCAAGAGGCCCCAAAGCCAGCCCAGGAGGCCCCCAAGACAGCCTCAGGGAGGCCCAAGAGGGCCCCGTTCGAAGTCACGTTCCCGGAAGCCTCTCCGGGAACGCCCCAAGAGCGCCTCCAGAGGCCCTTCCAAAGGGCCCCAGAAGCCGAAAATCATGTATTTTCCAACGGTTTTTGAAGCATTCTTGCGCCCTCCCATGTTCCGCCTCCCCACGGTCCCGGACCGCGTTTGAGGCCCTTCAGATCGCTCCAAGACGGCCGAAGAGGCTCCCAAGAAAGGCCAGAGACTGCCCAGGAGGCCCCCAGATTATAAGTCAAGAGGGCCTCCAGAGCGCCCCAAGAGAGCCCCCAAGAGCGACCCAAGAGGGCCGGAAAGAGCGCGACATTTCAAAGTCTCCGGCCTGAGAGGCTCCTAGGACGCCCCCGGAGGCCATCAAGAGGCTCCCAAGAAGCCCCCGAAGCCCCAATAGGCCCCCAAGGGGCCCCCAGGGAAGCCCCCTGCGGGCCCCAAGACACTTCGGTAAATCGCATTTCCCAGATAGCTTTCCGGGAACATGATTCCTTGGGCTTCCGCCCACCGCCCCAACCATGTTTCCAATAGGCTTGCCGACAAGGCCAAAAGGCGCTTCTCGGTAAGCCCCCAGAGGCCCCCCCTCTTAGAGAGCCGAACAAATCATGCTCCCGGAAAGCTTCCCGGGAACATGATTCTCTATATCTCGGAGTAGCCCCCCCCGGCGGGCCGCTGCCTGTTCCCCTCATCGGTGCCCACCGGGGGCTGCGGTGGGAGGTCCAGAGCTCCCGAGGCGGTCCGAGCCCGCCCCGAAGCAGGCCACGACAGGCTAAGGGGGTCCTGAGAGGGCCCAAGACTGTCCCACGAGGCCCCAAAGACGCCCAAGCTGCACTCAAGACGGCCGACGAGGACTTCAACACGCTCCAGGACGGACTCAAGAGTCTCCCCCCCAAGAGGGCCCTGGAAGGCAAGTTTCACTAATGTTCCGATGGTTTCTGAAGGATTTAGGCGTTCTTGCTTCCCCCGCTTCCCAGCGCTCCCTCACGGCCTCGCTCGGAGGCCCTTCAGATCGCTCCAAGACGGGCCACGAGGCCCCAAAGAGGGCCCCAAGACGGCCCTGGAGGCTCCCCAGACAACCCAACTGTGCCCCAAGAGCTCCCCAAGAGAGGGCCCAGAGGGGGACCGCCAACCGATACTTCGAGGTCTCTGGACCTAGAGGCCGCCTGGAGGCCCCCGGAGGCCACCAAGAGGCTCCCACGAAGCCCCGTGAGGCGCCCAAGAGGCCTCCAGGAAGCCCCAAGAGACCCCCAAGGGGCTCCCAGGGAACGCCCAAGAGGCCCCCCAACACACCCTAAGAAATCATGTCCACAGAAAACCTTCTGCTGGGGACATGGTTCATCATGGGCCCGAGAGTTCCCGGAGACCCCCAAGGGGCCCCCAGGGAACGCCCAAGAGACCCCCCAACACACCCCAACAAACCATGTCCCCAGAAAGCCTTCCGGGGACATGGTTAATCATGGGCCCGCGAGTCTCCGGAGGCTTCGAAGTACCATCATGATACAGGAAAGCTCTCTGGGAAGTTGATTGGGAACATGACTGATCGCCTGCTCGCGGTCCTCCGCAGATCGTTTCGCACAAAGTTGCCCCAAATGCCCTCTTGAACCGACGACGACGACCACGAAACGACGAAGACGACGACGACGACGACGACGACGACGACGACGACGACGACGACGACGACGACGACGACGACGACGACGGCGCGCCCCAATAGGCGACGACGACATTACGACGCCTACGACGACGGCACGCCCCAACAGGCTCCCCAACACGCCCCCAAACCCATGCTCCCGGAAGGCCTTCTGGGAACCCGATTCATACGGCCTCCGCCCCCATACACAACCATTTTCCTCGAAGGCCTTTCGGAATGCAGATTGGCATGCGTGGACTGTGGTCCACTACTTCAGTGGAGCAATGAATTCGTGAAGGCCTGGGGCCTGCTAGAACCTGAGCGCGTGCGAAGCGCGCGCGATGGTTCTAGTATATATGTGCATGCCTACACCTATAGGTAGATGACTCAATCCTATATACATAAATATGCGTATGCATAAATGTATATACGGATATGTCTATACCTGCATATCGATATACCTATATATGTATATATATATATGTATATATATATATGTGTATATATATGCATTCATAATCATATAAACATATATATATATATAGATGTATATGTCTATACCTACAAATGTATGGATATGTTTTGTATGTCTACATATGCGTATCTATTTATAACTGTATACATCGATACATCGAGGACTAGATACCTATATTTTTTTACAGTATACATGCATGTATCTATATATATATATATATATACATCTATGAGTGGGCACCAGGGGGCCCAAAATCGGTGCCTCCAGTTGGCTTGGGGGGGCCCGGCGGGCCTCCGCGCTCCCAAAGGGCCTTGCAGGGGCCCAGCGGGCACCCAGAGAGGCCCTCAAGGGGACCACAATGCACCACGGCGCTTCCAGCACGCCGACCACTGCTTCGAAGCTGCCCACCTGGCCTCCGCGGCGCCCCAAAAGAGCTTCCAGCTGATCCCCGGGAGAGGTTTCAGGCGCGGAAATCGTGGCTTTCCAGTGGGTGGACAACATATCACGAGGTATATGAGAATTCATAGAAACAGCGTGCCAATGCGGCTCAGATTCCTTCGACCTCTGAGGAACTCCATTCCCCAACATTTCAGTGCTGACTTGCATTGTGCTGTCCTCCCGGACGTGAGGAGCCTCGTCAAGGCCAACATTGAAATGTAAGGGGCGGGGGTTAAGCGTGGAGTTGGTATCGCAATCGGTGCGCAGCCGCATGCGGCCACGAACAAGTTGCGTTGTGTCGTTCTCCCGCTGTCCCTCGGTTTTGTTGACAGGTTTTCGTGCGCTCGCCTGCTCCGCTGCCCGACGCCTGGAGACGGTTCAAGAGGCGCCCAAAGATGGCCCCAAGGCACCCGAAGAGGGCGCAAAGACGGCCCAAAAGGCGCCCCAGAGGGCTCCGGGCGGCCCCCCAGATGAGCTCGGACATGTTGCAAGAGCCCTATGAGGATGATGTGGAGGACGGCAGAGGGGCCCTCATCCCTCCTCCTTGCGAGCGAGGGCGAGGGTAACGTCGGCCATCCTGCGCAGAGCCCGCCCCCAGGCGGCGTCTGGGTGGTGCGTCCTGAATTGGCCGCGGTTCATCGTCCACGTCATGACCCCGGTGCAGCGACAGTGCGCTGGGCACTTGCCAACGCGCGCCTCGTTCAATTCCCCTTCCCCCCTGCGGGGAACCAACACCACAGCAGGAGCAAGTGATTACCGATGCCGCTGCCCTTGCTTCGTTTTCGCCTTGTTGGGGCTCCTGGGAGGCCCTCGTCGCCACGGCTGGACTCGCCCCGGGAGTAGCTAGCGCTGGGCCTCCCTGGGCAGCGCCTCTGGCGCCAATTCTGGCGCGCTCCGCGTGCCATGGGGGGGAGAGGCAGCAGCGCCGATGCAAGAAGTCTGCGTGGAGCTTCGAAAGCTGGTGTTTATGAAATGATAGGTTCCTCTCGAGGATGAGGACGAGAACGAGGAGGAGGAGGAGGAGGAGGAGGAGGAGGAGGAGACGGAGGAGGAGGAGGAGGAGGCGTAGGAGGAGGAGGAGGAGGAGGAGGAGGAGGAGGAGGAGGACGAGGAGGATGAGGAGGAGGAGGAGAGAGAGGAGGAGGGATTGACGCTGCGAGGCGCCCCCAAAGTTCGGCTAAGGAAAGAAGAGGAGGGTGTAGGATGAGGAGGGATGAGGCATGCCGGGAGGAGGAGGGAGGGAGGAGGAGGAGGAGGAGCAGGAGGGGGACGAGGAAGGGACCAGCAAGTTTGTGCGAGAACATCGCCTGTTTCCCACCTGATGGGTAGGGGGCGACAGGAGGAGAAGGAGGAGGAGGAGGAGGAGGAGGGCAGAGGACAGAGGACAGAGGACAGAGGACAGAGGGCAGAGGACAGAGGACAGAGGACGGAGGAGGAGAGGGAGGAGGAGAGGGAGGAGGACGGAGGACGGAGGACGAGGACGAGGAGGAGGAGGAGGAGGAGGAGGAGGAGGAGGAGAAGGAGGAGGAGGAGGAGGAGGATGGGGAGGAGGCGGGAAGGGGAGCGCTTGGAAGGACCGTTGTGCTCCGTCGATCTGCGGGCGGGTCAGGGGGGCCCTGAAGCAAGAGGTCGAGCCATCCCTGGCCAGGCCAGCAGCCGGCCGATCCGCCGCCGAGTCCGTGCACCCGGGCTGCGCTGGTGGACCGCCTTTGCGAGGGCTTGCTCGGCCGTGCCCTGCGAGGTGTCTGCTCGGCCGCCACCCCTCTCCCCCTGCGACTCTTGAGCGGCAGGGCCGTCAGGGGCATCAGTCGGGGCCGTGGAGGGAGGATGGAGGGGGTATGAGGAGGGGGACGAGGAGACGGAGAAGGGGGTGGGGGCGGAGGACGAGGAGGTGGGAGAGGGGGGAATGGGGAGGATGGAGGAGGAGGGCGAGGACCCAGTCCTCCTGCTCCTCCTGCTCGTCATCTTTACTGGTCTCTGCTCCGGGAGCAGTGCTCCCAGGACGCTGCCTGCGAGCCCCACCGCCGCCGTGTCTGGGCGAAGCGTTCGAAGGACGGGCTCCGAGCTGACTTCGGGCCTCCGGGGGTTCCTGCGCAGAGGCTCGCCGAACGCATCCGGTCGTGGCTGCTGCCCGTGCCGGCGCACGAAGACGGGGTCCGAGTGCGCAGCCTCAGTTCGGCGATCATCCTCCGCCAGGTACTATGACATCGAGGGCAACTGGAAGAGTAACGACGACTACGAGGTGCCATCCTGCGCCCGAGAGAGAGAGAGAGAGATAGAGCGAGAGATAAAGTGAAGGGTCTGAGGAGGAGGAAGAGGAGGAGGAGGAGGAGGAGGAGGAAGAGGAGGAGGAGGAGGAGGAGGAGAAGGGGGAGGGGAGGGGCAGGAGGAGAGGGATATGGAGGAGGAGGAGGAGGAGGAGGTGGAGGCGGAGGTGGAGGTGGAGGGTGAGGTGGAGGAGGGGGAGGGGGAGTTGACGCCGAGGAGAGGGGGGTCAGGTTCATACGGGAGCCCCACACTTTTCCCCGCCGACGCCGTGGACTACTGACGCGTACGCAGTCTCTGGAATCGGACGACAGGTGCCAGTGAGCGGGGGGCCAGGGCTCTCGCGGCGAGGGAGCGGGGGGCGGGGAGGGGAAGGGAGCGCCAACGGTCATACATGCACTGACGTCGGTGCCCAGTCGGAGTGCATCGATGACGCTGGTAGCTGCGATTACGAATACAATGGCGCTCACAGGAAGGATGCTTTGGATTGCTCGGAGACCAGCGCGTGCGCGTGAGGGGGGGGCGCGGGCGGCCGCCAGATGCGCAGGTGTCAATTCAGTTGGCAGTCAGAGGAGGCACAGAGAGCTCTTTGCGCAAGATCTCCATGTTTCAATCGATGCTCAAGCGTCCTTTGACAACAGTTTGCGAGCTGTAACTTGCAGCTTGTGAGAAGGCACTGCAAAAAACTTGTAGCATATCGTCTGCGCACTTGAGACGAACAAGAACACCGACGGTGCCTATTTGTTCGACGGGCGGTTGCTCGTCGATGCCAGCCCTCGGGTGATGCTTTCCAGCCCCGAGACCTTCGAACATGACTCCCAGGACGCAAACAACGATGCTGCCACCAGGGAAGCTGCCGGGATTTCTGGGGCTGCGGATTTAAGGGCTCCCTCGAGGGCGCGAAGTTATTCGCGCTTCGCGCTTCGCGGTCCTCGTTCCTCCTCCCCCTCCTCCTCGTCCTCCTATTCTCCTTTTGGGAGGGCGGCGCGAGAGCGCGAAGTTATTCGCGCTTCGCGCTTCGCGCAGCGCGAAGCGCGAAGTTGGGAGCCCTAATGACTCCAGGACGCAAACAAAGATGCTGCCACCAGGGAAGCTGCCGGGATTTCTGGGGCTGCGGATTGCAAAGGCCAGACCGACGGACGTCAGGGACGCTGTCCCTTGTCCAAGGTGCCCCCAGCTTTTCGCTCCGTGTGGGAGCCCCTTTTGGTCTTCTGGGCCTTGCGGGGGGTGTTTCGGAGGCCGCGGGGGCCTTCCTGGAAGTCCTGCTGCAGGCACTGGGCCGGAAACATCTCTGGCAGCAGCCGAAGGGGTGCTGCGGGCCGCACTGGAGGTGGCGGGGCGGCGCGCGGGGGAGCCTTGGCATCGCTCGGACGTGTGCGTTTTTCCTTCGGCGAGGACCATCGACGAGCATCCTTGATCATTTGGCGAAAAAACCGCGCACGAAACCGAAAACGCACAGGGGATGGACGTCCGAGCGATGGCCAGGAGCGGGAAGGCAGGGAAGGCAGGTGGCGAGGAGCCACCCGGGACCCAGGGCTTCTGACGCAGTAGGTTCTTGAAGGATTCTGGCCTTTGGAGGGTGCCTGGCAAGGCTCGAAGGGCACTGGACACCGTCTTGAGGCGTCTTCGAGGCATGTCGGAGGCTATCTTGAGCCATGTTCGGCTATCTTGTGGGCCTGCGCACAGCAGGCCATACGCCACCACCCGCGCCGTCCCTGGCAAAAACCACTTCGCAGTGATCGCGGGGTGGCTGCGCATGATCCAGTTATATCCGCAAGTTGCATGTTGTATTGTTATTGGTAGGGATGGGCGCGCAGCGTACAATATGCTGACACCCCCGCCGTCCCTGTCAACAAACATACACAGTGCTTGCGGGCCTCACGAACATGATTCAACACTTCGCCCCAAGGTGTCTTTTGCAATGCTTGTTGGCAGGGATGGTGGGGGGGGGCCGCATCGGGTTGGTTGCGCATGCTCCGAATGTGCAGGTATAATGCGTTGTGTTTTGTTTCTTGACAGGGATGGTTGGGCGGGGGTGATTCTGGTGTCCTCATTGATCCTGGTTGGCTACCAGTCGCCTGGGGGAGGGGGCGCGTATCAATAGGAACCAGTAGTAAAGCCTTTGCATGGACATTGTCAGTCGTCAGTTTGGCGCAGAAGAGTCTTGCAAGGGACGACGCGTTAGCCCAACACTAACACATTTCCATCGACGTGTTTTGACTGCCCAGCCCAACTGCTAATTTGACAGACGACCATGTGGCCGCCCCCATTTTGCTCGAGGCGCCCAGCGTCGGTCTTCTTATGTCATTCGTGATGTTGTTCGTTATGCCAGGTGTGAGTCGAAGACTGCACAAGCGCTGAATCTCGTCAGAAGCAGCTCCGTAGAGTCGGAAACTCGTCGGTTCGGACATTTGGAAGATCGGTAATTCGTGATTGCAGAAGTGCGCGGTTCGGAGGTAGGAGATTTGGAAATTCCGAAGTTCCAATTCTGAGTTGGCATTACTCAGTCTGTCCGGCATGGAAAGCACGAGTTGCACCTCAAGGGTTTTTTGGTCAATCCCGCGAGTTGCACGGTCGGTTTCGTTTGTTTCTGTGTGAATTTGCAAGGTTCTTTTTAGTTGCTTTGGATTCCTTTGGATTCCTTTGGATTCCTCAGGTTCCCCCGGGTTTCCTCAGGATTCTCCAAGTTGCTCGGGGCGCCTCAGGCTTCGACGTGATCCCCACCCCTCTTTCAGGATCCTGCAGGTTTCTTCAGGATTCCCAAGGAATCACCCGGATTTCCCGGAGTCTTGAGGAACCTTCAGGATCCTGTAAGGATTGTTGGCGAGTTTCGGGGTATCCACCAGCCCTCAGGGTTCTTGATTCAAGAGTCTTCAGCATTCGACACAAGGTTCCCCATGATCATTCGGGTCTCCACAGGCTTCCTGAGGGCGATCTGCCCATGTTGTCTTGAAACTATTGTAGTGTGCCTTTCGCGGTGGCCGAGCGGATTTCGGATGACCAGCGCGCGTGCGTGGAAGGTCTTACAGCGCCCGCAATGGAAACGTATCCGCGTTGGCCGGGAGATTACAGTGAATATGTAGCGATGACCGCGCGGATTTCCGGTGACTCGCGTGGCGGGCGTGGTCATCTGAGCGCGTGCGTGCGCGCAGAGGTTTGTGAGTTTTGCATGGTTCGCAGTGGAAAAGTCGCCATGTTGCCCTGGAAACTAAAGTGAATCCTGAACGGTGAACTAGCGGATATCTGGTGACCCGCGCAGCGGGCGGGTCACCCGCACCGCGCGGGTGTCCGCGCTCACCCGCGCGCGTCCGCGCGTGCGCGCGTGGAGAAATCTAAATTGTGGGCAATGGAACTGTCGTCATGCGCGCCTGGAAACTAGAATGAAGTTTTAACGGCGGCCGAGGGGGTGACGGGAAGCGTCTTCGAGGACCGAGAAGTGGTTTGGACGTTGTTGCTGCAATTGTAAGGTGTCCATATGTTGTTATAAGGATATCCCTGCTTTACCGTGGCGGGCCGCACTGGGGGCGGGCTTGGAAACGTCTTCGAGGAACGAGAAGCCGGCTGGACGTTTTGGCTGAAATTCGAACATCTATGCATCAAATATTACACCGTTTGGGATCCTATGTCGAAGCGGCATAGCAGATGACGGGAAGCGCGCTCAGACTCGAAGATTCGCGCGATGGACGTTGGCATCGACCCGGGGGGGGGGGGGTAAAGCACGACGATAACATGGTCAGTTAAGGGGGTGCAGGGGGGGGCGGGTTCGGGATTCACTCGCGGTCCATGCCTGGATGATGAGTGGGCGCGCGCACAGAGTCGAAGGGTCGCGCGATGGACGTCGTTCACTTGCCCGCCCAGGGAGGGGATATTTATCGAGTGGATAGGGTCCAGGGGGGGAGTGGTGGCGGGATCGGGCCTGGGCCCGCAGCCGGCAGATGACGGGGAACGCGCTTGTGCTCGAAGGGCCCCGCGGCGGACGCCGCTTATTGGCCCGGAGGGGAAATGTTTAGCAAAGGGAGGGGTCCAGGGGAGGAGAGGCTCAGGAGGGGAAAAAACACACAGACACAATTAATCGACGAGTCCCAGGAAAATATGGGAAAACATGGGAAGTGGGGGGGAAGACAAAAACCCAAAAAATATAGGAAAATATGGGGGATAATTTTATTTGTGTGTATTTATTTGTGTGTCCCAGGGCCCCTTCAGAGGCGGCGGGATCGGGCCTGGGCCTCGAGGTGGCGGATGACGAGAAGCGCCCCTAGATTCGAAGGGTCGCGCGGCGGACGCGGTTTACTGGCCCGGGGGGGAATTTCTATCATGCGGAGGGGCCATGGGGGGGGGGGCGGTGGCAGGATGGGCCCGGGCCTGGAGCTGGCGGATGACGGGAAGCACGCGTAGAAGGCCTTGGCTCGAGCGATTGCAGGTGGCATTGAGGGGTCTCCGGGGTGGCTACCCCCCGCGCAGCATGAGTAGCGCGCGACGGCATACCCTTGACTTAATGCACTGTAGGGCTGAGGGCAAATACGACACTGTTAACCGTGAGGCAGCTTGGCAGTTCATGGAACGAGTAGCCAGTTTAACAACCATGGGTGGACAGATAACAACCTTGGATTGGATCGTGGGCTCGGTCACTGAATTCGGCAATCATGGACTGGTTTGTTTGGTCAGCCGATCAATATTGCCTTGGGTTGCGCGTTCAATCCCCACGGTACGCTGAAGAGTTCAGGGTCGGAAAGCATACGCAACAATTTTGCTCGCTTTTCATGGCTTGGGGTGAATTGAGGTTGCTCGGCCATGCAAAGCTCGCGCGCAAGTTCCTCGCATCGTGGATTGCGCAGCTTATTGCGGCCCCTTCTCTGCTGCCATCGCCGCCGAACAGAGCGCGACGCGCTGGGTGGCGGCGCGGCCGCCCTGGAGTCAAGACGAGCAATTGCAAAGTTCTGGGCACTTCCCACAGGAATTCCCGCGCCGCGCTCGCCAGAGGGCGGGCGAGACACTGGGGCGACCGCCTAACGCGTTGGGATGCAGTGGCGAACCGTTGCAGCTGGATCCCACGCAACTTCTCCCAGTACTCACGCCGCGCCATTACAGCTGCTGGGTCAAGAGCTGTTTGGCATTATTAAATCGCTTCGCTCATTCCGCCGGCCCATAATGTCGCACCGTGGTCGCCTGTCCGAGTGGTCGTTTGCAGTGTGGAGCTGCGGCGTCGGGAGCTGTGTAGTGTTGGGGGCGTTCTTGGGGCCCTCTTGGGCCGTCGTGGAGGCCACTGGGGCCGTCTTGGAGCCGTCTTGGACCGTCTTGGGGCCCTCTTGGGGGCCTCTTGGGCCCTCTTGGGGCGATCTTGGAGGCCTCTTAAGCCGTTTAAGGGGCGTCGGGGAACCGAAGAGGTTCAAACGCCCAAATCTGTCCAACACCAAAGGAAAAGCACAGGTTGTTGCCTCCTGGGGTCCTCTTGGGGGTTCTCTTGGAGGCCTCTTGGGGCATCTCGGAGGCTTCTTGGGCCACCTTGGAGACGTCTTGGGCCGTCCGGAGGCCATCTTGGGCGTCGTGGAGCGATCTTCGGGCGTCTCGGACCTCTCTTGGACCGTGTTGGGGGCGTTATTGGAGCCCTCTTGGGCCGTATTGGAGGCCTCTGGGGCCGTCTTGGAGCCGTCTTGGGCCGTCTAGGGGCCCTTTTGAGGGCCTCTTGGGCCCTCTTGGGGCGATCTTGGAGGCCTCTTGAGCCGTTTAGGGGCGTCGGGGAACCGAAAAAGGTTGAAACGCCCAAATTTGTCCAAAACCTAAGAAAAAGCATGGATGTTTGCCTCTTGGGGCCCTCTTGGGAGTGCTCCTGGAGGTCTCTTGGGGCATCTTGGAGGCTTGTTGGGTGACCTTGGAGACGTCTTGGGCCGTCTGGAGGCCATCTTGGGCGCCGTGGAGCGATCTTCGGGCGTCTCGGACCTCTCTTGGATTGTGTTGGTGGCCTCTTGGGGCGATCTTGGAGGATCTGGGGGAGTGTCCCGGGCTCCGCCCGGGGTACTTTTGATCCAGGGACCCCCAGGGGCCGCCCCGCGCGCGCGAACTAGAAATACTGTTTACCAGTTACCGGAGATCTTAGCACGCCTCTGGCCCGTTGGGCCGGCGAATTCAGTTTTGTGGTTGTCGATCGTGGTCGGATTTCTTTGTCTCTTCTGCGCATCTTGGCTGCCATTCGTTGACGCCCCGCACGCAGCGGCAACAGGTGGCATCAGAGCATGCGGCTGGTGACTTTGAGTTTGGCACGGCCGGCCGCAACTTAAGTCGCCCTGTTACATTCTCCGCGTGCTCAGTTGATTCCTATGTTCTGCGTGCTCGCACTGCCGCGCATGACGCTGCCACCTTTAGCTCTGCTAGGAAGGGCGATATGTCCTATGTGCGCGTCGCTGTCGCGAATTGCATTCGTCCTCTCTGCTTCCTGCGCCACCGCGGCTGCAACGACAAGGCCCTTGTCCCGTGGCCACAGGGCCATGGCCAGTCGCGCGCGCCAACCACCAGAGGGTGGCAGCCGCGCGTGGGGCATCCAGGGCGCGCGCGCGCGGGCCACCCCGCCGCGGGCAGGCCTAGCGAAGGCTCGCGAGATCTCAGGAATGTTGCGTCGTCCAAAAACACGCTTAGGTCTTCCCGTGGCCCCGCGCGCTGCTTCTCCTCCGCCTTCCCGCCGCCGTGGTTTTGTAAGGCATGCCGCCCGTTCCAAGGCCTCCAAGGCCAGATGTCTTTGGTCCGATGTGCGTTGCCCCCGCCAGGGGGTGGTTCGCCGCGCGCCTTGCATCTCACGCGCGCGCGCGCCGATCCTTCCGTTGCGGCGCGAAGATTCGCGAGACCTCTTAGAGTTGGGGCCGCGTCGGCAAACACGCGCGCTCAAACTCGAAGGTTCGCGCGATGGACGTTGTTCATTGGCCCGTAGGGGAAACATTTATCAAGATGATGGGATACAGGTGAAGAGTGGCGGCGGGATCTGGCCTCCGCGTTGAGGGGGCGGCTGACGGGAGAAACTAGCACTCGTTTGATATATATATATATATATATATATATACAGGAGGCCCTGAGGACGCCCTGATCACAGAGGCTTTAGGCATTTTGGCTGTAACCCGCGCTCTCTTCCTCCTCCTCTCCTCCCGCCAACTCGGCTCCCAGAGCCTCCTGCGGAAGTTCCAGTCAACGTTCCCTGGCACTGTAGAGCTTCAACACTCTAATCCTTGTTGGGCGTATTCTCATTGAAGGCCCTTGCACGAAATATGTTCCTCCTGGCAGATCGGTAGCGTGAGGTGTGATGCAGCCAAGACGGGCGCAGCAGAGTGGAAATACATATATCTATATATATATATATATAGATATTCGCCGAATCGCGACGTTGGGGGTCGCCCCGCGCTAAGGTTGAACGTTTCGCCCGAGACATCATCGGACAATTGCTGAAGAAATCGGCGGCCTATCCCCCGGAACTGCGAAACATATTTTCTGCCCAGAGATATCCTCGGAAACAATTGATGCGCCAAGAGCTCTTTTGCTGCATATTTTCGGAGCGTTCCTGGATGACCTTCAAGACGGCCGAAGTAACGACATCATTGACAAACCAATGTTTTCCCAACAGTTTCGTTAACACATTTGCGTTTCGTTCGTGTCATCCCGTAGCAAATGCATTATAATTGGACCGCGAAACCATTCGGTCTCCTCTTTATCCTCCGCCATTTCCTTCTTCTCCCATTCCTCCTTCTCCTCCTTCTCCTGATCCTTCTCCTCCTTTTCCTCCTCTTCATCCTCCCCGTCCTTTTCCCCTTTTTTCCTCTTTATCCTATCCTCCTCGTCGATATTATCCTCCGCCTCCTCCTGTTCCGTCTTCCTCGTCCTCCTCCCTCTCCCCTCCTCATTCTCTTCTCCCGCTGCTGGTGCTGCTCCTCCTCCTCCTCCTCCTCCTCCTCGTCCCCTTCCTTTCACGGTCGTCGTTTTCGGCGTCGCACTCTTGGAAGATGCCTCACACACCTGTGGTTTTTTACCACCATTACTACATGTCACGATGTTTATTTCACGTTATGTGGTCCGTACTTCCAAATACATATGTACAAATAGTTGCCGAACATCCCAACAACCGAATATCAGGATGTTGAGTTTGGGATGCTCATGGATTATTTCCGAAGGGTTACCCTCAAAACACTTAACAAACAGGCCTTTCGAATTTTGTTATGGTGTGTCTCAGACAATACTTCTGTCGATGCTGGTGTATCCCGAGCGGCACTACTTCAATGATGGTGATTGCGTCCAACGTGCGTTGTTCTTCTTATGTCTCAAATGCACCAGCGTATATGATGTCGACGAGCCCTTTCTAACGCATGCCTAGCGGTTCCATACGCCCGCCTTACTCCTTGAGTCTTCAATTGCAAAGGGAGCCCAAGCCTGGATGCCCGCGGATGCTCAAAACCGGAATCGGTTTTTAGGACGAGGAGAAATCCGTTCCAGAGCGCCTTCAGAGTGGCCCGGAATACTCTGAGAAGGCCGCGGCGCCGTGGACATCTTCCAGAGCCGCCAGATCTCAGAGATTCCCTATTTATCCTCACCCGGAGGAGGGCGAGGAGGAGGATGATGAAGGAGGGAGGGAGGGAGGGAGGGACAACGACGACGAAGGGAGGAGGGGGAGGAAGGGAGGGAGGAAGGGCGTGTGGGCGAGCACGAGTAGGAAGGAGGAGAATGCACCCTCGTCCTGGCTTCGTCCTGCGACAGGACGCGCGGCGCCCCACCGCCTCGCGCCCTCGAGCCCTCGGCGGGCGCCCCGCCCCCGAGCCCATCCCGCTGCACGACATCCTCCGGGAGGACGGCTACGGCAACATGCGCATCGCGAGGCGCCGCCCGGCCTTGCGAGCAGCCCCTCCGGCCTCGCGCGGGGGGAGGGGGTAGGGCGGAGGGCGGCGGAGGAGGAGGAGGAGGAGGAGGAGGAGGAGAACGAGGAGGAGGAGGAGGACGAGGAGGAGGAGGAGGAGGAGGAGGAGGAGGAGGAGGAGGGCGGAGGAGGGCGGAGGAGGGAGGAGGGGGTAGGGGGAGGGGGGGAGGCTTCTTGGAAACACCCGTGCTTCTCAGACGGCGCGGGCCTTCTCTGCAGAGGTGGGGCCAGCGCCCTCTGAGGAGCAGCCTCCTTCTAAGAAGCCTCCCCCATCCCCCATAACCCCCTTGTGCGCGCCGCCAGCCCTGTGTTCCGGTCCTCCCAGGTGGGGTCCGAGCGGATGGGGTTGGAGGATCTCGCCGCACCGCCTATGCATCGGCGACGCGGCGCGATGTGGAGCCCGATGTTCTCCGCGTCGACGTCGCCGCTCTACCGCCGACGCCGCCGAGGCATCGCCTCAACGGCGATGCGCTGCCGATGCGGCGCGATCTTCCGGCCCCGTCTGCACGGCTCCCATTCTGGGAGGCCTCGCTCTGCCCGCGGCGCGGCTGGGGCCGGCGGCGGAGCGGCGTCGGGGCCCAGCGCCCGTGCGCCGGGAGGAGGGAGGAGGGAGGAGGGAGGAGGGCGGAGGGCGGAGGACCGACAACAGTTCGTTTCCATTTTTTACCAGGGCTTCAGAGGAGGAAACCTGGCATCGCTCGGACGTGTGCATTTTTCCTTCGGCGAGGACCATCGAGGAGCATCATTGATAAAACCACGCACGAAGCCGAAAAAACACAGGGAATGGACGTCCGAGCGATGGCCAGAGACCGACAACAGTTCGTTTCCACGTTGAACAGGGCTTCAGAGGAGGAAAAGGTACCCATAACGCTACCCGTGCCTCGATCTCCCCGTTTTGGGCCTCCTGGGAGGCCCTCGTCGCAACCCATGGGTTCGCTCCGAAATCCTGGTTTGAATGCACCCCAGGGAAGGTCTGGGGAGTAGCGGTATCGATGCCGCTTGGAGTCTCCAGGATTCGTTGTCAGCGTTGCCGCGGAAGTTGTCCATTTGAGACAGAAGGCTGTCTGCCCAACAGCGGCGCTGTCGGTGTTGGACAACATGTGTTGTCAGGCACCGCGCCCATTCTCTCCGTACCCCTTTCAGGCGCCCAAGCAGCGGGGCGAGGCAGCGGAGGGCTTCGAGATCGGGGCACTGCGATTTTTTCACAGCGGGCGACTTCGCTCCGATCTGGTGGCCAGGACCCTCACAGGTTGGTCCGGCTCGGAAGACGGCGCAGAAAGATGGGGTTCAGGGCCGCAGTCGTGATTGTTCATGACGTTTCATTTTTTTCCCAACCATCCTGTGGTGTTGGGTCTTCGTTTTGAAGAGACGGTGCCCCGCGTTCCTTCCTCCTCCCCCTCCTCCCCCTCCTTGCCTCTGCTCTCGGCACACCTCTCACGCGTTTCGTAGCCCCATAGGGAGCTCCACCGAAGGCCCCAGTGGGGGTGTTCGCATGCGGTTCCCCCACCCAGGGCAGCGTTTCGTGGCCCCATAGGGAGCTCCACCGAAGGCCCCAGTGGGGGTGTTCGCATGCGGTTCCCCCACCCAGGGCAGCGTTTCGTAGCCCCATAGGGAGCTCCACCGAAGGCCCCAGTGGGGGTGTTCGCATGCGGTTCCCCCACCCAGGGCAGCGTTTCGTAGCCCCATAGGGAGCTCCACCGAAGGCCCCAGTGGGGGTGTTCGCATGCGGTTCCCCCACCCAGGGCAGCGTTTCGTGGCCCCATAGGGAGCTCCACCGAAGGCCCCAGTGGGGGTGTTCGCATGCGGTTCCCCCACCCAGGGCAGCGTTTCGTAGCCCCATAGGGAGCTCCACCGAAGGCCCCAGTGGGGGTGTTCGCATGCGGTTCCCCCACCCAGGGCAGCGTTTCGTGGCCCCATAGGGAGCTCCACCGAAGGCCCCAGTGGGGGTGTTCGCATGCGGTTCCCCCACCCAGGGCAGCGTTTCGTAGCCCCATAGGGAGCTCCACCGAAGGCCCCAGTGGGGGTGTTCGCATGCGGTTCCCCCACCCAGGGCAGCGTTTCGTGGCCCCATAGGGAGCTCCACCGAAGGCCCCAGTGGGGGTGTTCGCATGCGGTTCCCCCACCCAGGGCAGCGTTTCGTAGCCCCATAGGGAGCTCCACCGAAGGCCCCAGTGGGGGTGTTCGCATGCGGTTCCCCCACCCAGGGCAGCGTTTCGTGGCCCCATAGGGAGCTCCACCGAAGGCCCCAGTGGGGGTGTTCGCATGCGGTTCCCCCACCCAGGGCAGCGTTTCGTGGCCCCATAGGGAGCTCCACCGAAGGCCCCAGTGGGGGTGGCATGCTCAGGGCAGCCGTGGCCCCATAGGGAGCTCCCGAAGGCCCCAGTGGGGTGTTCGCATGCGGTTCCCCCACCCAGGGCAGCGTTTCGTAGCCCCATAGGGAGCTCCACCGAAGGCCCCAGTGGGGGTGTTCGCATGCGGTTCCCCCACCCAGGGCAGCGTTTCGTGGCCCCATAGGGAGCTCCACCGAAGGCCCCAGTGGGGGTGTTCGCATGCGGTTCCCCCACCCAGGGCAGCGTTTCGTAGCCCCATAGGGAGCTCCACCGAAGGCCCCAGTGGGGGTGTTCGCATGCGGTTCCCCCACCCAGGGCAGCGTTTCGTGGCCCCATAGGGAGCTCCACCGAAGGCCCCAGTGGGGGTGTTCGCATGCGGTTCCCCCACCCAGGGCAGCGTTTCGTAGCCCCATAGGGAGCTCCACCGAAGGCCCCAGTGGGGGTGTTCGCATGCGGTTCCCCCACCCAGGGCAGCGTTTCGTGGCCCCATAGGGAGCTCCACCGAAGGCCCCAGTGGGGGTGTTCGCATGCGGTTCCCCCACCCAGGGCAGGCCCCAGTTGTTCGCATGCGGTTCCCCCACCCAGGGCTCCACCGAAGGCCCCAGTGGGGGTGTTCGCATGCGGTTCCCCCACCCAGGGCAGCGTTTCGTGGCCCCATAGGGAGCTCCACCGAAGGCCCCAGTGGGGGTGTTCGCATGCGGTTCCCCCACCCAGGGCAGCGTTTCGTGGCCCCATAGGGAGCTCCACCGAAGGCCCCAGTGGCTGCTTCGCATGCGGTTCCCCCACCCAGGGCAGCGCTTCGTGGCCCCATGGGGAGCTCCACCGAAAGCCCCCGTGGCGCAGTTCGCATGCGCTTCCCCCACCCAGGGCAGCGTTTCGTGGCACCATAGGGAGCTCCACCGAAGGCCCCAGTGGCGCAGTTCGCATGCGGTTCCCCCACCCAGGGCAGCGTTTCGTAGCCCCATAGGGAGCTCCACCGAAGGCCCGCCCCGGTGGCGCAGTCCGCATGCGGTTCCCCCATCCAAGGCAGCGCTTCGTGGCCCCATATGGAGCCCCACCGAAAGCGGCACCCACAACGCGTTACCAACAATTGCTTATGGTTGGGTCTTTCGCCAGGATAATTTCGAGATGTCAGATCCCAAGGGGTGGGGTCGAGGAAGCGCCGACACGGGTCAGGGCGCGGGGGCCAGCGACGGGTCTCGTTGCCTTGCGGACTTCGGCGCTGGCGCCCGTGCGCCAGATCCCCGGATCCTTGCCAGCAGACGCCAGTATGGGCGAGCGACCTTCCAATGCTACCCTTGCATCCCTGTCCTTTGGGCCCATGCTTGGTACGTTTCGCTGGTCGGCATCGAGCGAAGAACGCGGCCATGGCGCTCCGGAGACCTTGCGTCCTTGCCACGAGCATCACTATGAGAAGGGTCGACTCTAATCCATGCTGGCGTGCGCCCGAGGTGGCGAGGGGAGGAGGAGGGGGACGAGGGGGACCCCCACGGGTGCAGGAGGGGGAGGGTCAGGCGATCGCAAACATGGATCAAGGTGGCATTGATTAGCAACAGGTCCCGTTGCCATGCGCAATCACGGTTCTCCGCCGCCGAGCGAGGCGGCACAGGCCGTATTTTGGGGAGGCCACCTCCCCCGATCTATCGATTGGGCGACCGCGAGCCAAATCCATGGATCGCGAATCCATGCTTGCGCGCCCCCCAAGAAGTGGCGGACGCCATCGCGTCTCACCGACTGAAGGCTCATGGTGCTGGCGCTTCTGACCACCTCCTGCCCCTTCCGCTTGCTGCCCCTTCCAGATTTACATGTCGAGAGTCATGGGGCAGAAGTGGGAGGAGGAATAGGAGGAGGAGGAGGAGGAGGAGAAACATGCTCGTGGGCAGGAGGAGGAGAAGTGTGATCATATGTTGCCGCTACAATGCTCTGCCACGCATCACCGAAGCCCTCCCCACAGCGCCAGTAAAACGGAGAAGGAGGCGGAGTAGAGAAAGGAGGTGGAGGAAGAGGAGGAGGTGGCGGAGAAGGGTGCGGCCGATAATAACATGGAGGAGAACGATCATGGTTCCGAGAAGGTACGGAAGGAAGGAAGGAAATAGGGCAGGGGACAAACTCGATGCCACTGGGTCGTCGCTAGCAAGAACAATAGAGAGGGGGTGGATGGAGGCAGATGGACAGCAGGATGATGATGCGGATGATGATGCTGATGATGATGATGATGCTGATGATGCTGATGATGATGATGCTGATGCTGATGATGATGAGGAGGAGGAGGAGGAATAATATGCAGAGGAGAAGGGGACGAGGGGGAGGAGGGAGGTGGGAGGAACAAATGGAATAGGAAAATGGGAGGTGGGACGATGCTGTCGTGCCAATAAATGGAAAGGGAGGTGGGAGGAGGAAAAGGATGACCAGAGGTAGGAGAAGGTTGGAGAAGAGAACAGGACGAAGAGGAATGAGGGGCGGAGGCGGCTGAGAAGGTCAAGGAGGAGGACGAGGAGAACTTCGTTGGATGGAAGGGGGTTGAGGAGGAGGAGGAGGAGGAGGAGGAGCTGGAGCTGCTGGAGGAGGAGGAGGAGGAGGAGGAACAGGCGTGGGAGGAGAAAAGGAGGAAACGAGAAATCATCACGATGAG